TCAGGGAATTTTAAAATGTAGTGAGAAAGGCTCAACTATTCAATCTTACTAGTAATTAAAATAAAAACTTAATTAGATCTCATTAACTATTAAATTTTTTAAAGATTTATTTATTTATTTGAAAGTCAGTTACACAGAGAGGAGAGGCAGAGAGAGAGAGGTCTTCCATCCTCTGGTTCACTCCCCAAATGGTCGCAACGGCCGGATCCGAAGCCAGGAGCCAGGAGCTTCTTCCAGGTCTCCCACGTGGGTACAGGGGCCATTTTCTACTGCTTTCCCAGGCCATAGCAGAGAGCTGGATAGGAAGTGGAGCAGCTGGGACTCGAACAGGCGCTCATATGGGATGCCAGCGTTTCAGGCCAGGACATTAACCTGCTGCACCACAGCGCCGGCCCCAGTATTAATTTTTTTAAAAAAACTTATTTATTTGAAAGGCAGAGTTGAGAGAGAGAGACAGAGAGAGACAGAGACAGAGCTTTTCCACTTACTGATTGACTCCCATGTGGCTGCAACAGCCGGAGCTGGGCCCATCTGAAGCCAGGAGCCAGCAGCTTCATCTAGGTCTCCCACATGGGTGCAGGATCATGAGCACTTGGGCCATCTTCCACTGCTTTCCCAGGCCATTAGCAAGTAGCTGGGTTGGAAGTGGAGCAGGGGAGACTCGAACTAGCACCCATATGCGATGCTGACACCATAGGCAGTGACTTCCCCTGCTGTGCCACAGCCCCTGTTATTAAGTTTTGTTGTGATAAATTTCTGACCTTACACAGATGTGAGAGAACAATTTTCCATGGGATGGGGCTCTCATGCCTTGCTGTTACTAGCCTCTCCACCTGCTGTCTCACTCCTGCCAGCAGGGAAAGTCCTGATCGGGGTTTGAAAGGGTAAATGCGGCATGTGTCAATCATCCCTGTTCCCTTTCCTCTTCTTGGATCAAACTCTTCCCGGATCTCACGTTCTATTCCACTACTGCTGGTGCGATAGGGAGTCCTGGACTGGGCTTCCTGCTAGTGGTCAGTGAAGCAAGCGTATTTGCCTGAAGATGTAAGCACATTCCCTATCAAACTTAGCAGTGATAAAGGTGAAATTTCAATCTCCACTTGCCTTTGTTCCATAGCTCCATTATCTTAGATATTAGCCACAAAGAAAGTTTCTATTTATTATGGCTTGTCAAAATCAGCCTTTTATCATTGTGTACCCAAAGCTTTAGAGATGTTCAAAGAATTTTAGCCATTTCTGGAAACTACATTTGGACAAAGCCTTATGCACTAATATCTTCATTACATATTTATTATTAATGATATAATGACTACTGAACCTATCTTGCATTCTCTAACAAAGTTGTCTTCAAAAGGCAAAAATCAAAAGGTAAAACAATATATGAGGGATCTTCAAAAATTCGTGGAAAATGTATTATGAAAATTTTTTGTGGAATTAAAACTTACATTTCAATCCTGTTTCCATGAACTTTTTGAAACACCTTCAGTCATTAAACCAATAATTTTTATTTATTTATTTGACAGATAGAGTTAGACAGTGAAAGAGAAAGACAGAGAGAAAGGTGTTCCTTCCATTGGTTCACCCCCTAAATGGCCGCTAAGGCAGGAGCTACACCGATCCGAAGCCAGGAGCCAGGTGCTTCCTCACAGTCTCCCATGCGGGTGCAGGGGCCCAAGCACCTGGGCCATCCTCCACTGCCCTCCCAGGCCACAGCAGAGAGCTGGACTGGAAGAGGAGCAACTGGGACTAGAACCCGGGGCCCATATGGGATGCTGGCACTGCAGGTAGAAGATTAACCAAGTGAGCCACGGTGCCGGCCCATAAACCAATAATTTTTAGCACTTCCTATGAGCCAAGCACTTTGCTATGTAAAGCAGAAAAAAAAAAGTTGGAAGGAAATATACTAAAAATCTTAATATTTGTTTTAAAGAGAAACAAACCTGATACTCTCTTTAGGGTTTTATGCTTCTTTGTGTCTTTTAAAATTGTTTTTATGACTTTAGAACCCAGAATATATAGAGAAGTCCCCAAATTCAACATCAAAAAACCAAAACATTCAACTAAAAATGAACAAAGGACTTGCATAGGCATTTCAGAGAAGATACCCAAATGGTCAACGAGCCCCAGAAAAGATGGTCACCATCACTTAGTCGTTAGGGAAATGCAAAAGCCCCTACACCCACCAGAATGACTGCTGTCAAAACAGAAAATAGTAAATGCTGGTGAGGATGTTGAGAAATTAGAATCCTTGTGCATTGTTGGGGGAGATCGTGGAAGACAGTGACTGTTCCTCAAAAAACTAAAAATAAGATTACCATATGATCCTGCAACTGCGTCCCTGGCTTATACCCAACAGAACTGGAAGTAGCACTCGCAGAAATATTTTTACACTCATAATCATAGCAGCATTACTCAGAGCAGCTACAACGCAGAAGCAAACCAAGTGTCTATCAATAGATGAACAGGTAAGCAAAATCCAGGGCCTGCCCCAGAGGCAAGTGGATTATTACACATACAGATGGAATGTTAATTTGATCTTAAAAAGGTAAGAAATTCCGACATACGCTGCAGTACAGATGCTAAGTGAAGTAAGTCAGTTGTTGAAAAACACTGACTCCACTTACATGCAGAGAGTATGAAGTGAGCTATGGCCTGACCTGAGTCACTCTTTTTTTTTTTTTTTTAAGATTTATTTATTTATTTATTTGAAAGAGTTACACAGAGAGAGGAGAGGCAGAGAGAGAGAGAGAGAGAGAGAGAGAGAGAGAGTCTTCCATCCGCTGGTTCACTCCCCAGTTGCCCACAATGGCCAGAGCTGTGCTGATCCGAAGCCAGGATCCAGGAGCTTCTTCCGGGTCTCCTACATGGATGCAGGGGCCCAAGGTCTTGGGCCATCTTCTATTGCTTTCCCATCCCACACCATAGCCGGGAGCAGCCAGGTCTCAAACCGGCGCCCACATGGGATGCTAGTGCTTCAGGCCAGGTTGTTAACCCACTGTGCCACAGCACCACCACCACCACCCCACCCCCCTCACCCCCCCACCCCGTCACTCTATTTGTCTCTGGATGATCTCTAGTCATTGTGTTTGCCCTCTATTTTTTTAACCAGTTGCACAGCTATTATCTACTCAAAAACTAACCTTGTAAGAATGCTATCTGTGAGGACTGTTTACACTAATTACTGGGGAAATGTGTTAATGCCCCCTCCCCCGGGGAGAAGTGTACCTTGCTTGTTGCAGCCTCTGTAAGGAATGCTTAGCTTTGTAATTAACTCCCAACAGGGTGTGGTTTTTGCCTTTATAAGCTACCCCTGAGCTCAATCGGGGCTGCAGGATTTGGAGCGCACATTCCCAGGGCAGCTGCTGGCTTTGCTGGCTTTCAGAGATGAAGACTCCATGATTGGGCCATGAGACTTTGGAGTCTTCTGTAACTGGCTGTTCAGAATGTAACAGAGTAGTGAAAAATCACTGAGACAGAAAATAGAATTGGTGGTTGCCTAGGTCTGGGTGGGGCGTATGTCGCCACAGGGTTTCAGTTTTAGAGACTGAGAAAGGTTATAGAGATGGATGATGATTGTTGAAAATTCTAAAAATTAAAAAAATTCAAAAATGGTTATTAAATGTCATGCATATTTTATCATAAAGTTGAAAAATACACAAAAATAGACTCAAGATGAAGTCAAACACACAAAGAAAGAGAAATAATATAACTATTAAAGCATATCTGGTATATCATTTAGGAATAGTTTAGAGTAATTTTTTTAAAAGACTCAAAAGTGCCTTAGACCTGATGGAAGTTAAATCCCTCTCATAACAGGAAGTCTGGTAGTGGGCAGTCAGTAGCCTTACTGTGTCATCAGGGATCCAGGACTGGATCTGCTCTGCCTTCCTCAGCTAGGGACTTCGCCATTGTCAAGGTCTCCAAGTTCAACATGACTGCTAGATTTCCAAGCATTTCAGGAAGGAAGGTGGGAAGTCTACTTTTCATTTTTTCTTTTTAAAGATTTATGTATTTGAAAGAGTTACAGAGAGAGGCAAAAAGAGAGGTTTTCCTCAAATGGTTCACTCCCCCAGTTGGCCACAATGGGTGGAGCTGGGCTGATCCGAAGCCAGGAGCCAGGAGCTTCTTCTTGAGTCTCCCACGTGAGTGCAGAGGCCCAAGGACTTGGACCATCTTCCACTACTTTCCCAAGTCATTAGCATGGAGCTGGATCAGAAGTGTAGCAGCCAGGAATCAAACCGGCACCCATATGGGGTGCTGGCACTGCAGATGGCAGCTTAACTCTACAACACAGTGCCGATCTCAAGTGGGAAGTCTTCCAAAAAAAAAAAAAATATATATATATATGTATTTTAAGAGGCGAGAGAGAGAGAGAGAAAATCAGTTTCCACCTGCTGGTTCACTCCCCAAATGCTTGCCATGGAGGAGAAAAACTGAGCCAGAAAGCGATACAGGTCTCCCACTTGGGTACTTGATCCATCACAGTTGTCTCCCTGGATATGCACTAGGAAGAAGCTGGAGTCAGGAGGTGGTGAAGCTGGGAATTTAACCCAGGTACTCAGATGTGGGACGCAGACACCCAGGGAAGTGTTTTAAGAAGGTTTCCTGTTAGTCTCACCTAACATTTCTGTTTACATCTTACTGTCACTCTCCACCGCACAAAGCTACATGGTCATATGTTTGCTGCTAGATGCAGGATGTGCCTTGGCTGGCGCTGCGACTCACTAGGCTAATCCTCTGCCTGCGGCTCCAGTACCCCGGGTTCTAGTCCCAGTTGGAGCGCCGGATTCTGTCCCGGCTGCTCCTCTTCCAGTCCAGCTTGGGCCCTGCACCCGCTTGGGAGACCAGGAGAAGCACCTGTCTCCTGGCTTCAGATCAGCATGGTGCGCCCGCCGCAGTGGCCACTGGGGGGGTGGTGGTGGTGGTGGTGGTGGTGAACCAATGGAAAAGGAAGACCTTCCTCTCTGTCTCTCTCACTGTCCACTCTGCCTGTCAAAAAAAAAAAAAAAAAAGGATGTGCCTAACTGAAAAGCAAGGTTCTCTAGCAGTTAAGACACCCTCGTCCGCATAGCAGAGTGCCTGGGTTTAATAGCTGGACTCAATTCTATCTTCCTGTTGATGCAGACCCTGGGACGGCTCAAGTAATGGGGGTCCCTACCACCCACACGGGAGGCTCCACTTCAGCCCTGTCCAGTCCCAGCCATATGGGCACCTGGGGGAGTGAATCAGCTTACTAGAGCTGTCTCTGTCTATCCATCTCTCTCTGCCTCTCAAAACAACAAAAAACAAAAGCCCAGGTTAGAATCTGGAAGACCCAGCTAGGACTGAGAACCATGGAACTAGAAAATGCTAGTTTTAGGTGAATTAATTAGGTAAATTGGCATCAGGAGAATTGACTTGCGGTGAATTGGTATCAAGGTGAACTAAATCCCCATCACCGCTTTAGCAAGCTGTTTATGTCCCTCTTGGCGTATCGCTTCCATCAAGAACCGTAGTCGTTTTGTAGACACTGTCTACAGGGACTTGCTTTGAACTTGGCATCTGCCTCCTGCTGCCAACTTCTCCGAGGTGAAGTCTCCTCTGAAAACAGCAGTTTGCTTGCCTTGCCTGGAACTGCAGATGCCAACGAGCTCTCTCACTTGGAATTTGGGGTGGAAACCTGGAATTCCAGTCAGCAGTGACTCAGAAACCCCCTCTGACTTTTCCAGGCAGCTTTCTTTTTCACTTGCGTGGCTGGAGGAGCTGCAGGTGAGAACAGTCTGGTGACTTCTAAGTATTAAGGACATAATGAAACTCAGGCATCGCAGCTCCTAATTAATTCACTTGATTTCAGAAGAGGCGGCAGGGTCAAAGTCTCCAATTTTGGTTAGTGTTGCTCAGAGAAGCAGAGCAAGCTTACATTTCCAGACTTTCTCCCAAGCAAAATGTCACCTGAGGGAACTTCTGTCTCCTTCTCTGAAGCCAAAGTGCTATCTGTCTCCTCATCGGCTCCAAACGACTACTGTGGCAGAGAAGAATGGGCTGTTATTTGATGCCAAATTGAATCTGCAGTGATTCAGTGAATTAAAACTAGAGAGTTATTACAGTGACTCACAGTGTGTGTGTCTATTTGTGATTTTTAACATCGATAGCAGGCTAGGCTTACTTTTAATTTCCTCTAAAATATTAGGATGTTTCAGAATGCCCACAGCTGCTGATTAGGACATTGTGTTTCTGATCTTGGTGATAGAAAGTAACCAACTTCTAAGCTTCAAAAGAAAATCATTTGGGAGGTTCTAACTGAACTTTCCACCTCTCAGGAGTACCTATCCAAGCCCAGGAAAATGTGAACATTTTTCTGCTCATGCCTGTTGCCCTCGGGTTCCCACGGGGCCCAGGTGACAGCCCATGCACGAACTGGCAGATTGGCAGTGCAGCGATCATCCTAATGTTCAGAGCTCCTGAGACACCTCGGCTTCAGGAGTGACTCCGTCTTCAAACAGGCTGCGAAGGCAGCACCTCGCTCCCTCTGCTATGAGCTATGTCCAAGGCAGTGGAAAGCAACACTCACACCAGACAGCACATGTCCCTGGTCTCTGGCCTCCGTATCTGCACTGACAGAAGTCAAAAGGGATTCTTCGAGTGCTTAAAGGAAGACGTCAGTGTTAGGTAAGTGAGAACCCCAGAATCCTGAGTCTTTCTGACAAGACCACAGCTTCTCACCCTGAAGTCATAGCCTTGTAACCACTGTGTACCATGACAGCATCAAAGTTAAATTCATTGAGCCGGCGCCGTGGCTCAATAGGCTAATCCTCCACCTTGCGGCGCCGGCACACCGGGTTCTAGTCCCGGTTGGGGCGCCGGATTCTGTCCCGGTTGCCCCTCTTCCAGGCCAGCTCTCTGCTATGGCCAGGTAGTGCAGTGGAGGATGGCCCAGGTGCTTGGGCCCTGCACCCCATGGGAGACCAGGAAAAGCACCTGGCTCCTGGCTCCTGCCATCGGATCAGCGCGGTGCGCCGGCTGCAGCGGCGGCCATTGGAGGGTGATCCAACGGCAAAGGAAGACCTTTCTCTCTGTCTTTTCTGCTCTTCACTGTCCAACTCTGCCTGGTCAAAAAAAAAAAAAAATAAAAAAGTTAAATTCATTTTGATGTCAGTTTCCAAAAGCTCCTTGTCATCTCTCTTCACTCAAAGAGTAACTCCCTTGTTACTTAGTAGATTTATGTTTCCTGCACTATTTCTCTGCCTCTTCAGTTCCTGAAACTCTCCAGTCAGTCAGTTATTGGTAAAATTCCCTATGTCCTCAACCTCTTTTCTTAAAAAGAAAAAAAACTTATTAGGAATGCAGCATGACAAAGAGGGAGAGAGAGATCTTCATTTGCTGGTTCACTCGCCAAATGGCTGCAACAGCCAGGGTTGGGCCAAGTTGAAACCAGGAGCTTCGTCTGAGTCTCCCCCGTGAGAGGCAGGGGCTGAAGTACTTGGGCATCTTCTGCTGCCTTCTCAGGTGCATTAACAAGGAGCTGGACTGGCAACTGAGTAGCTGGCACTCTGATAGAAGATGCTGGCATCACAGGAGGTGGCTTGATTGGCAGCAGGACAATGCCAGCCCCCTCAGCCTTTTGGTGAACATTTCCTTTCTTTTTCGACTGACACCTGGTTCTCCCTGAAGAGTATTTCTGTTTATTTGTCTCCAGATATAACTGGTTTCTCCTTAGCCCTCATCATCACTGGGCCTGGAAATAAATTCTCTCCCTTGCTCCTCACTGCCACTCCCAGAGCACTCTATCACCTTCCCGCCTGAGGACACTCAGCTGAGTGCCTGTGTCATCAGAGTTCACCCTCACAGCATCACCTCATACCAGCGCCCACAGAACCGCGCCGCCTGCCTTCCCTTGCTGAGGATTTAACTGCTGGCTCTTGATTATCCTCTCAAGGGCTAGTCTGGCCATCTTTTTTATCTCAATATTCACACAGATGTTCCTTTGAGCACACTAGTGTGTTCATTCCTTGACCTTGATCCTCTAATACTTGGCTGTCCTAAGCCAGCTAGTCCTGTCCAAGGTCAGATACAGATTTCCTGTGGTCAGTTACTGGAAAACTTTCCTGTTATCAGCTGCAAGCCTCAGCTTTCTGGCTACTCCCTCCAGTTTTCCCCACTCACTCCCTCTAGGTACCTAACTTGAAAAAAATCCGTGACTCCAGGACATAAATCTATTTGTTCTACCATCTTTTCATAATCTCCACTGTCCTCATGCCCTTGCTTTTCTTTATCCAGCTAGAAATCTGTGCTCAATCATTATACCCTTTCATTTTATATATGCTGAACTCTGATCCTCTCTTACTTTAGTATATTTGATTATAAAACCCCAAAGCTTCATAAGTCCCAAACTTTAGATTTATAAACCAAAACTCCATCAAACCAAAGTTTGGCCTGGGGCTGGCACTGTGGCATAGTGGGTAAAGCCACCACCTGCGGTGCCAACATCCCATGTGGGCACTGGTTCGAGTCCCAGCTGCTTCATTTCCGATCCAGCTCTCTGCTATGGCCTGAGAAAGCAGTAGAAGATGGCCCAAGTCCTTGGGCCACTGCACCCATGTGGAGGCCTGGAAGAAGCTCCTGGCCCCTGGCTTCAGATTGGTGCAGCTCTGGCCATTGAGGCCATCTAGGGAGTGAACCAGCAGGTGGAAGATTCTTTTTCCCTCTCGCTCTCACGCTCGCTCTCACTCTTGCTCTCCCTCTGCCTCCCCTCTTCCCTCCCTCTCTGTGGCTCTGCCTTCAAATAACTAGTCTTAAAAAAAAAAAAAAAACAACTTGGCCTACACCAGGCTTGTATTCACATAGATTAGTGTGGTAAGAGAAAACATGACAGTATTGTAAGCTGTTCTCTATGATTACAAATCTCAAATGGTCGTTAATGCTGCTTGGTGATGATAAAGCATTTCCTGACCCATTTCCTGTCTTACCCCTCCCCATTCTACCTTGACTGTCACCCCTCAGCGCATCACCATCCTCGCCATCAGTAGTGCATCTTACTTTTTCATTCAGTGGTGAGTGATCAGAGGAGTGTGACCATAACCACATTGATCTACTGATCTATGTCTTACACACCCTCTTATATTATGTGGCTAGTCTAGGCTCAGGGCTGGCATTGTAGTGTAGCAGGTTAAGGTGCCGTCTGTGATGTCACCATCCCATGTGGGTGCTGGTTGGGGTCTTGGTGGCCCTGCTTCTGATCCAGCTCCCTGCTAATGCACCTGGGAAAGCAGTGAAAGGTAGCCTAAGTGCTTGGACTCCTACCACCAGCATGGAAGGCACAGATAGAGTTCCAGGCTCCTAGGTTCAGCCTGGCCACACCCTGGTCCTGGCCATTGAGGCCATTTGGGAAGTGAGCCAGCAGATGGAAGACCTCTCTCTCTTCCTGTCCCTGTGTCTCTGTAACATTGCCTTTTGAATACATAAATTAATCTTTAAAGACAAAACAGAAGCCTATGCTCTTTGCTAAGGCCACTTTCCTACTTGGGCTCAAACACCCTGCACATCATGTCCTCAAGGACAGCACTTTCTAGCAAACCAGTGTTATTGATTGCCTCTGGTCCACCAAGTCTTTCCCATCAGCACGCAAGTGTGTTATTTTTCACATCTTAAAATAACTATCTATTGACCTCATTTTTCCTTTGAGCAACTTTTCTTTTCTCTCTCCAACAACAACAACAACAAAAATCTGGAGTTTTCTACTTAAAATTCCTCTCCTAATTTATTTTTTTGAAGTTTTAAAATAATTTTATTTAAACAAGTAGTATTCATAGCTACTTTGTCATAAACTCAAATGACTTCATTTGAAACCACTGTGACTCATTTCAGCAGTTTGTGCCTGAACTGAAGAAATAACTAGAATGGCTCAAAAATTTTTTTAATTTCAAGATCATAGAAAAGTTGACAAAAGAGTAAAATAAACATAATCCTTTCTCAAAGATTCACTGTGTCTAAACACTGGCCAAATTTGCTCCTCTCTCTTTACACTTCTGCTTGTTCCCTCCCTCTGTCCCTCCCTCCCTCCCTTCCTCCCTCCCTTCTTTGTTTCTTCCTTCTCTGCCTAACTCAGTCTCAAAGTAATTTCTAGTGTACCATTGGGAAGTATGTTTTACACACCATGACACATCACTACTAAATAAAGCAGTATGCATGTCCCGTGAACAAGGACATTCTCCTACATAATCAGGATATTTTCCTAGTGCAGAAGTTAATGTTACTTCCATGATGGTACTTTATGTATGGCCCATATTCAGATGTCATTGGTTGTTTCCAACAGGTACGGTTTTCTTTCAGTTCTTGACCCAACTGCGCTGCTCTGATTGCATTGGGGCCATTACTGACCTTCAGTCCATCTCCAGGGAGATTGTCCCTCTCCCTTATTTTTTGTATCAGTAACTTAAAGGAGAAGTCCTAGCTAATTATCTCTAGGGTATTGCACCTTCTGAAGTTAGCAATTCTTTCCCCCTCATGATTAGAAAGAAGTTAAACTTAGTTTTTGTAAGAATATCATTTGTGTGTATGCATATCATGCACAAATATTAGTAATAATTGTGTCTTAGCAGGAGGTAAGGTGTCAAGTGTTTTCACTGTTGGTGATGTTAAGTGCTCACTTCGTTAAGGCAGTGACCACCACAGTCCTGCTTTGCAGAGATATATTTTTACCTTGAAGTGAGTTGATGATTTGTGAAGTGATGCTTCAGTGACATGACTGTCATGCTCCCTCATACGATTCATCTGATTAATTTTCTAATACTCTCATGCCTTTTTCATTGACTGGCTGCTTTTTATTTCTGAGAAGAACACTGTATTCCCCCTCCTCTCTCTTTCAAGTTCCAATGTGGAGAAGCATGTTTATTTGCATTCAGGCTGTTACACTACATTATTATCAATATTATTTTTTGTGGGATTTTTTTTAATGGGGCCCCTGGGTAGAAGTTACATCCAATCCACTTAGCACTGAGGTCTACTCCTTTAAGAGTCTCTCCATTGATGAGGGAGAATCTGCTATTACATATCCCACCTTGATTGATTCTAGATCTTTTCACTTGGTCTTTGTGCTGAATGGGACATGAAAACTGAAGGTTAATTCTACCCAACAATAGAGAGGATTGGATAGGAACTGTTGACACATGGATGTTGACAACATCCATCTTTTAAAATTAAAGGCTATAAACTGATACTCATCCATACCTGTGAATTACTGATTTTTAAGGTGGTTTGAGGTTCACTAAGAAGCCTTGAGGCCAAGTCACCCTGAAGAGAAAAATGATAAAATTTATTCTCTTACCCAGAAAGCTTTTCAAATGATTTTCCCAGTTGAGAGGTAAGGATTTCCCTTCCTGTTTGCCTAGGTAAACTCTTGTCTGTTGGAGTCCCTGCCTTCCCAACCTCCTGTCCCTTGCAGTTTGAGTCTCCCATCACCCCACATTCTGCTTAGGTTAGCCTGTAACACATTTGTTGTATCAATTTAATTGTCAGTCTTACCTATTGGGTCCAAGTTTGGCAAGGCAAGATGGTGTCCATATCATTCAAAATTGCTTTTTCTGACACTAAGATAGGCCAAACACATTGATAACATTTAGTAACTGCATGAAAACAGTGGTGGTTGGGTGAGGCAAATGAAACAATCGTTGGAAGAGAAGCCTCTTGGTTGAACGCTTCTGTGGAAAAGAGCTGGCACGGGTTGTTTGGAGACAGCAGTCCCAGACCCTTCACTGGGCCCTGGGGAAGGTTGTGAGCCCTGAGGACTACACAGTGTTCTAGAAGAGGAGGCTTCAGGATCACAGTGGTTGCTATTGGGAACAGCCTCATCCTGGTATAAACACAAGTAAACAGAGAACCAGCTTGCAAACAGTAATGCATCACATGGGGTCCTCAGAAAAAAAACCTTGAAGACCACTAGTTTTTTTGTCTCTTTAGAAAACTTATGTAAGTTATGCACATTTCACATATCTCATATACACAGATTTAGGAACATAGTGATGCTTCCTACCCCCCCTTCCCTGCTGCCCAGGCTCCCTCCCTTCCTCCTCCTCCCTCTCTCATTCCTACTCTTACTTTTTACAAAGATCTATTTTCAGTTATTTTCAGTTTTGTTTGTCTCTTATACAGTATATAGTTTTGTACTCTAGTAGTTACCACAGATCAGGGGAAACATATGGTATTTGTCTTCTTTTTTTTTTTTTTTTTTTTTTGAGGACTGGCATATTTCACTAAGTATAATGATTTCCAGTTGCATCCCTTTTGTTGCAAAAGACAAGATTTCATTCTTTTTCTGGCTAAGTAGTATTTCAGTCTGTGAATTCCATAGTTTCTTTATTCATTCATCAGTTGATGGACATTTGGGTTGATTCCATTCTTGGCTATTGTGAATTGAGCTGCAGTGAACACGCAGGCACAGATCACGCTTCCATCTGCTGATTTCACTTTGGGTAAATTCCTAGGAGTGAGGTGGCTGGAAAACCACTCGTTGAGATAAACTAGATAAAGTAGGAAGTTCATCAAAGAGCTCTCCATAAGGAAAGTTCTTGTTTTTCTAATTTGAGACCCAGACTAGGTATGCATAACTACCTCAGAAGAGGGGACAGATTGAAAAGTATGATTCCCATGACTGCCAATTGTAGAATAAAATAGTATACTCAGTATTTGCCTTTGTCAGTCACCAATACAGGAAACAACCTATATACTTTGACTTACTAATACCAAGAAATGTGGAATTAGCTATTAATTACTAACATGCATAACAACCATTTATCATGGCAATCCATGTAATCTTTAATGAGAACTCAAGCTGTGTAATACTCTCCTACTAGATTGTCACTTTAGATCAGGCATTCATGTTCCCACGTCATTGAATCTGCTTTGCCAAGCTCGCCAAGGTCTTTGATCTTTCCATCTCAAGTCTCATCTGAATAAACTCTCAGCTACAGAAAATACAGCTTTCTTCCTCATTGTAGAACAGTTTCTCCACATGGCTTTTAGGGCCCATTCTCTTCTGGATTTACTCCTACTGCACTGACTTTCCCCTGTTCTATAGATACCTCAAGATGCTGGGATGCCCTGGGATTGGTCATCTTCTCTACAAAAAGTCCCTACGTGATTTCATTCAGTTTGATGATTTAAAAATATTCATTTATTCCCATCCACTTGATAGGCAGAGTGAAAACAAGAGTGAGAGCGAGAGCAAGAAAGAGAGGGAAAGACAGAGAGGGAGGGAGAGAGAGAGAGAGAGAGAGAGAGAGAGAGAGATCTTCCATCCCATGGTTTAGTCCCCAGATGCCTGCAACAGCCAGGGCTTGGCCAGATCAAAGCCAGGGGTCCAGAACTTCATCCAGATCTCTGGTGTAAGTGGCAGGGCCCCAAGCATTTGAGTCATCATCCTCGGTTTCCCAGGCTGCATTGCAGGAAGCTGGATTGGGAGTGGAGGAGCTGGGACTTGAACAGTACTCTGATCTGGGATATGAGCATCCCAGGCAGTGTCTTAGCCACAATGCCTGGCCCCAATTTCCTAATTGTAAAAATAGTTTTCCTAATCGTTACTCTAAAATTTATATTTCTTTTTTTTAAAGATTTGTTTGTTTATTTGAAAGTCAGAGTTACACAGAGAGAGAAAAGGCAGAGAGAGAGAGAGGTCTTCGATCCACTGGTTCATTCCCAAATTGGCCACAACAGCCAGAGCTGCGCCAACCCAGAGCCAGGAGCCAGGAGCTTCTTCTGGGTGTCCCACACAGCTGCAGGGGCCCAAGGGACTTGGACCATCTTCTACTGCTTTCCCAGGCCATAGCAGAGAGCTGGATAGGAAATGGAGCAGGCAGGACTCAAACCAGCACCCATATAGGATGCCGGCACTCTGCAGGGGGCGGCTTTACCCACTACCCTGTAGCACCGGCCCAAAATTTATATTTCTAAATTTGTTATCTTCCCTACATTTCCAGTCTCAAATGTTCAGTCACCCACTTAACGTAACTTAGATGTATAACAAACATTTGATACTAAATACATTAAACTGGAGCCGGTGCTGTGGCATAGCGGGTGAAGCCACCACCTGGAATGCTGGCATCCCATATGGGTGCCAGTTCGAGTCCTGGCTGCTCCACTTCCAATCCAGCTCTCTGCTGTGGCCTGGGAAAGCAGTAGAAGATGTCCCTAGCCCTTGGGCCCCTGTACCCACATGGGAGACCTGGAAGAAGCTGCTGGCTCCTGGCTTCGGATCAGCACAGCTCCAGCTGTTGTGGCCAATTGGGGAGTGAACCAGCAGATGGAAGACTCTCTCTCTCTCTCTCTCTGCCTCTCCTTTTCTCTCTGTGAACTCTGCCTTTCAAGTAAATAAAATTAAGATTAATAGATAATTAATTAAACTAAAACTAAACTAAATTAAAATACTAAGCAAAATGAAATTCTTGATTTTTCCACCCCAAAACTAACCACAAATTTCCCCATGGCAATAAATTGTACCACCAATTCCTAAGATACCCAGAACAAACTGTTTGACAGTTAATTAAGTCTATCATAAAATCATGTCAATTTTCTCCTTAAAATATATACAGTTATGGGGCTGGGCTCTAGCTTAGCAGTTAAGACACCTGTTGAGACACCAGGTACCTGATTGGAACACCTGGGTTGCATGTCAAGCTCTGGCTCCTGACTTCAACTTCCAGCTGATGTAGTAATGAGACAGCAAAAATGGCTCAAGTCAGTGGGTTTCTGACATTCACGTGGGAGATCTGGATCCAGTTCCCAGCTCCTGGCTGCAGGGTACCCCTGTTGCAGGCATTTGAAAAGTGCGTTCTTGTGCACTGGGTAGTTGCCTTGCTCTCTCTTTCTCTGCCTGTCAAATAAATATAAAAAAATAAAAACTTAAAAGATATATACAGTTATGATTTTTCAATTAAAAATGAAACAGAACTTAAAATTCCAGTACCAACCAATTTTTATTAACCCTGGCACTACTACAAAGCTGGAAAAGGCAAGAAGCCCAGTTGTCCCCTAGGGTGTTGAAAGAAAGTACTCCAATACCTTGGTTTTAGCCCCATCAGATGACTTTCCAAGTTTGGAACATCAAAAGTGTGCTATGATAAATGTGTTTAAAGCCATCATGATTAGCAAACAGAAAAAACAACACAAAGACTTTAGATAGAAGATTCAGGGAAAGCCTCTCTTAGAGGTGTCATTAACCCAGGCTGAGGGATTGGAACCGCACATCATGTAGAGAGCTGGGGATAACACATTTTAGGTTAAAAAAATTCAGCTAAGGGACCTTAAGACTGAAAAGAAATCAATGTGTTCCAGAAATTGATGGAAAGTCAGAGTAATCCAGGCAAGATGACTGAAGTCAGAAGTGCCTAATAAGAAGTTGGAAATGTAGATAGGATTAGTTTCTGCAGAGTCTTACGGGACATACTAAGGAATGTAAGTTTTACTCTCAGGGCAAGGGCAAGACATTTGGGATTAAATGTAAGTGTGACATGATCTTTCTTAAGTCTTCTAAAAGTGTGATTTTTTTTTGTTTGACACATGTAACATGCACGACTCATAGCATATAGCTCAGTAGATTCTTGCAGAGTGAGATCACCCAGGTAGCTATCACCCAGGTAAGGAAATAGACTATCATAGACTATCACCACATCCCAGTAGCTCCCCTCACATCTTCTTCCAGCCTTTATCACTGCCGCAGTCACCATTATTCTCACTCTTAGCATCTTATAGTAGTTTTTTCAGTTATGGAACTTTATATCAGTAGAATCATTTAAATGTTTCATTTGTTTTTTGAGAACATTTCATTGTGAAATTTATACATATTGTTACATGTAGTTGTAGTTTTTTTAAATATTGTTGCTGCATTTCTGTATAAGACAGTAATATATTAATTTTACTTTTGAGGTACATTTAGGTAGCTTCTAGGTTTGAGCTGTGATGAACATTCTTGTGCATGTTTTTTTTTTCAACATTTGGATGCATTTCTATTGCAATATACCTAAGAGTTTGGTTTTCCAGAATTTACACTTCACCAGCCTTGGTTGATCATTGGAGTTACCCTATCCTTTCCAACACTTAAAAATGTTCTTTTAATTATTAATTAATTAATTAATCCATTCTCTTGGGTGTTTAAAGGCATTTTATTGTGATACAAATTTCCATATCTGATGAAATGATAATCAGAAAATCTTTTCATATGCTTATCAGCTACTTCAGTTTATTCTCTTTCGTTCACTGACTTGTACTTAGTTTCTTAAAAGATAAATCTGGTTTTTGTAAGGAGATAATTAGCTAATTTTGTGCACTTGTTTGGATCTTGGTATGACATGAATGAAGTTTGGTACAGGTACAGAAAATTTCCAAGTGCTCTTTTGCAGAGGGAATGCTACAGTAACACTGATGTGCTGTATAACACCATCAAAGTCCAATTTATCTGTATAAAATTAATCATGAAACTGTGAATCAAATCACACTTTCTGAAAAGTATTGATCCTGTTAAGACACTGTTCTCCCCAATAACAGCTTTGAAAAAGTGTCTTGCTGCCTTATGAACTGAATTCTTTAATGAAATGGTGTCCTTTAAACAAAAGGTCTACAAAAATTTAGTGATTGAGAGAGAGAAATGCAACGCTGCATAAAATATACTTCAATGGCTTCCAGAAAAAATTAATTTTCCTAGCTTTACTGCTTGAGATGAATTTAGACATAAATGTGTGGAGGAGAAAGGGCATGTTCAATTAATGGGATTTCTGGCTGCCTGCCCAGGGAGACTGCGAAATCTTGCACTGCAGAGCAAGCCACCCTCTGGAGCAAGCCCTCGGCTCCTCTAGAGGAAGGAGGGCTCCGCCCAACAGTAAATTAACTTTGTAGGGCATGCTTTATTGCTCTGC